GAGTCATATCAAATTCTTTGCAAATGAATAATGTTTGAAAATAGTTTGATGAAATTTTGAGAGTATTGCATCATATGTAAAATTACATTTGTTATAGCTGCCTTTTTACTTTAAAAATGACATATAAAATGGGCTTGCCAGTTGGAAAATGGGACACTGGTTGTATAATTATCTCATCTCTGAAAGTATTTTAAATATTTATACAGAACTTTACATGTTTTTTTGTAAATTAACTGCTACAGTGAAGTTGGTGCAAGACATTTCTTTTGATATTCATTTACATCAAATTTATATGTACATTCAATCACAAATCACTGCCATAGTTTTCAAATTAAATTTTGTTTATCTTTGTTTTCATTTCAAAACATGTGAATTTAATCTACATTATGAATGTACTGATACAATATTTCAAATATAATGTCCAAGGTCAACAAACAGTCAGTGATAATGTTTGTCATTAATTATGTCAGCGTATGCATGTCTTTAAAAGATGTAAAGCTGAAACTTTGCTTGATGTTTACATAGTTGCTGTCAATATTAAGTCATGAATTTATGACTTTTAAATATAAATTTAATTCAAAAATGTCCAAAATGATAATTAATCTTCTTGATTACATGTAGGTAAGACTACTCAGCTGGTTTATATCATAGTTTCAGAAATTTTGCATGACTTGAAGACCTGTGACAAAATTGTCAAGTAACAACTTTTTCAGCTGTTTTTTTTTTCTTATAACTGCCTAGTTTTTCAATATTTTGGTGTTCATCTTGATGGTGAACATACACATTTCCCATTTTTGTAAAATTAGAACATGACCATTTATGTATTTTCATACCAGGTTAATATGACATACATAGAAACTTTGCATTTGTGATATTAACAAGCATTCTGAGAGTATTGCATGGCAATACATAGTCCCCTACTGGTTAAAAAATCATTGTACTGGAACAAAATGCTAACTTGATCTATAAGACTATAACTTGTCAAGGTGTAAACTATATAACAAATATCAAATCAATATCTTCAAGCATGACGGAAAGAAAGTGTGGAAATACTGATTATTTGCCTGAATTTTCCAAGTCTGAGGACCATAACACTGCAAAAAGATCATCCGAATGGAAAAAAATTGAACTTGATCTACAACTTGTCATGGTAAAACTATATACCAAATATCAAATAAATATCTTCAAGCAAGACGAAATAAATGGGGAATGTGTCCATGGGACACAGATAATGCCCCCGCTTGCATAAAACGTTATAAAGGGACATAACTCAAGAACTGTAAAAGTGATGCTACCCAAATTCATCTTGATCTGAGTTTTGTGGTAATAAGCATTGTGTATAAGTTTCATATCATTTGGTTGAGGCAAACTTTAGTTAGAGAACTGAAATGAAAAATTCATCATTTTTTTCATTTGTAAAGGGGCATTACTCTAGAATGGTAAAAGTGACGCCACCAAAATTCAAACTTGATCTGTGTTTTGTGACAATAAGCATTGTCTATAAGATACATAATATTTGGTTGAGGCAAACTAAAGTTAGAGAACGGAAACCAATTTCAGGATGTACAGACGGACAAGGGTATAACTGAATGCCACTCCGCTACGGCGCGGGGCATAAATAATGCGGAAAACTGATAAATTGCACCCAAGGACCATAACTCTGCATGAAATCATCAGACTGGAACAAAATTCAAACTTGATCTGTAACTTGTCATGGTAAAATTATACACCAAATATCAAATCAATATCTTTAAACATGACGAAAAAATGTGCTCCGCCTGGAGCAGCTGGATACGACCGCAGAGGTCGAACTCTGAACAGTTGGGGCAAGTATGGACACAATATTCAAGCTTGATACAGCTCTGGATAGTGATTAAATATTTGACACATTATAGATTTCTGACACAGAATAAATGTGGTTAGATAAGTTAAAAATTTGAAATGGGACATTTAATCTTCTTAATGGTCCAATATCCAAAATCTAATTCCATGGTTAGATTCTGCATATAAAAAAATAAATGGGGAATGTGTCCATGGAACAGATGATGCTCCCGCTTGCATATAACATTATAAATGGACATAACTCAAGAACTGTAAAAGTGTCGCTACCCAAATTTGTACTTGATCTGAGTTTTGTGGTAATAAGCATTGTTCAAAAGTTTCATAACATTCAGTTGAGGCAAACTAAAGTTAGAGAACGGTATAGTTTTGTCCAAAATCAGGACGTTGGTTTTTACATTGGAATTTTTTTTAAACTTATCATTTGGGGCACTTTGCAGCTTGCTATGCGGTGTGGGCTTTTGCTCCGTGTTGAAGCTGTAGGATGAACTATAATTGCTATTAACTTCAACATCATTTGGTCTCTGGTGGAGAGTTGTCATATTGGCAATCATACCACATCTTATTTTTATATGGCAAAAACGGTCTGTTTAAACAATTTTATTTTATGAATAATGTGTGATTATTGACAACATCACATATGTGCATTCAGGGCTCACGCTAGCAGGCGACTGGGGTGAAGAAGTCGCTTTCCCCGTTCGTCACTTCGCTTTGCCCGACCGTCAAAAGCGATATCTACTTGCCCTGGTTTTCACAATAGTAACTTTCGTCATCGTCAATTTTCAATTAATACCAAATCAATGAAACAGCAAGTTTTCATTTCTAAGTAAAGAAATTCAAGGACATAAACGATTTATTTCTTTAGAAAAGAGGTGAAAGTATTTACTTTACAGATTGGTTGTACAATGTATGTTATTTCATATAGACTAACTATTTATCACTTCCGGTACTTGTTACTTGAGAGCGTACATCAAAACATTCTGATTTTCGGAAAAATAAGTTTGTTTTTTCATTAGAACGTGATGAAAATTGCCTTTAGATAATGTTTAATCCATTTATTGCATTAAAAGCGTCATATTCTGTTCCAAATAGCTTGTCAAACATCGTTTATTTCGTAAATTTTCTTTGTCCGCCAGTGATATTACAGATCGGAGGCGGGATTCTTCGGAAGCAGACCAGCTATGAATGAAATCTGTATTCTTATGATAGTAACTCTGGACGCAAGAATGGCACAGCCGACAGCAGAATATGATTCCAAAAAGGAAAATTACACATTCCACACGCATTAACAGCATATTGGTTAGATCTCCTTGTTGAATGTATATATTTCCATGTATATGCATTGCTTCAATTCATTGATTAAAATTGCTCAACTTTGTTAACTTCATATATCTTTTTAATAAAAAAAACAATGAATTTAATAAACATGATAAACAGAATAGTTTTTTAATTGAATTTTAATTGATATATGATACCTTCTCTTCCTTTTTGATATAAAAAAAAGTTCTTTTTAGTGCTAAATATTTTGTTGGTATTTTCTGACAAGAGGACTTATATAAATATAACTGTGCAACTACATGTACAAATGTATATAATAAATGATTATTTAAGACATAAATTGAAACAACTGTTACTTTAATTGTATACTCTGGTATGAATTGAACAATACAAAAAAAGAATAGGATACACATGGCACTTTATATCATAGTAATAACCAAACATTGTAGTGTCGCCAGCAAACAATCATTTCTCTTTCATATCTCACCACTTCTCCCTATCAGTTTCAAAAAGAGAAGTCACTTCTCCCTATGATTCTGAAGTAGTGTGAGCCCTGTGCATTGCTTGAATTTTCTTCTAGTTACATAAATAAAGTTGAAAATAAAGTCAAGATTCAATAAAGTTTTTTTTATTTTAATTTATGAACCAAAGAAATAATTATTTTTATTTGTAAGTACCATCAGGATATAATAAGCTTCCAATGTTCATACATGATTGTTTATCAGCACCAGACCGTAGTGTATGTCCACTTAAAAATAGTTCCATCATCACATATATATATGTTTCTATTCAGTGATAACAATTTATTTACATCTTTTTCGGTACTGATCTAAATTCCAAGTTACAGTCAAGGAATCAACAGACAACACTGAGTTAAAAACATTCTAAAAAGAATTTTCTGCACGTATAATTTCTAAAAAAAACCATGGACGACGTGTTTTAGAAAGTATGAACGATACATCTTTTCAAGGTTTGGACGATTCATCCTATGAACGACGTGGCAGTATGGACGTCGCGTCTTGCATTGTAAAAAAAACATGTTTGTAAGTGAGTTGTTTAAATTGACATGGACAATAGATGGAAAAAAGATAACCAGGGGTTAAAAAATCCACTAGCCTGACACTAGACTTTTACACTTCGGGCAATTAAAACTTGTAACCGAATATGCCCGACGGACTAGTAACAAACAATTCTTGGCATTTCCAAAAAAAGAAGGTGGAAAATCCCCTCATCACTATTCTATCTTAGCCAATCAGATTCAATTACGTACGTCATCCGGGATTCCAAGAATTTGAACCGATTTTGTACATGTTTTAAAAATAGAACAACTAACTCTGGGTGGACCAGTATCATGTATTGATCGCAATTCACGTACTTTCAATATCAATTTCTCAGTACAGGGGGTATTGTACATTGCTTATGCCGAAATTTTCAATTAATGGTACTTGGGTGTATAATGTAATGATCGATATTGACCTTTCTTGTCGGACAGCTGTTAATTTGAGCTTGAAACCATGCACAAATTATTTCTAAACATTTTAGTACGGCCACCATAGGAACTTTGTCAGTTTCAAAACGAAAAACGGTAGATGAAGGGGGTAATGAGGCTGAAAATTTATCCCAAAAATATGTGGATAGTGTCCACATGTGGACACAGATGATGCCCCCGCTTGCATATCATATAGTTATAAAGGGACATAACTGAAGAACAGTAAAAGTGACGCTACCCAAATTTGAACTTGATCTGAGTTTTGTGTGTAAGTCTCATAACATTTGGTTGAGGCTAACTTAAGAAGGGAACAGAAACTAAAAATTCAGCAATTTTTCTATTTATAAAGGGGCATAACTCAATAATGGTTTAAGTGACATTACCCAAATTCAACTTGATCTGTGTTTTATCAGTGGAAGTCAAAATTAAACATTGCATTGTATAAAGCATTCATTGTAGTTGATTCAACTATAATCATGGACAAAGGAAGATAACTCCAATTTTAAAAATAAAATGCTTCGCTGGGCGCAGCTTGATACGACCGCAGAGGTCGAACCCTGAACAGTTGGGGCAAGTATGGACACAACATTCAAGCTTGATACAGCTCTGAATTTGGATTGTGATTAAATATTTGACACATCATAGGTTTCTGACACAGAAAGAATGTGGTCTAAGAACTTCAATTTTTTTAATTTACCTATTATGGTCCAATGTCCAAAATCAAAATACATGGTAAGATTCAGCATATCAAAGAACCCCATATATTCAATTTTTGTTGAAATCAAACAAAGTTTAATTTTGGACCCCAACTTGGACAAACTTGAAAACTGGTCCCATAATCAAAAATCTAAACACATGTTTAGATTCAGCATATCAAAGTACCCGAAGAATTCAATTTTTGTTAAAATCAAACTAAGTTTAATTTTGGACCCTTTGGACCTTAATGTAGACAAATTTAAAAAACGGGACCCAAAATTAAAAATCTAAAAACACGGTTAGATTTGGCATATCAAAGAACCCCAATAATTAAATTTTTGATGAAATCAAACAAAGTTTAATTTTGGACCCTTTTGACCTCAATATCAACCAATTTGATAGCGGGCCCACAAATAAAAAATCTAAATACATGGTAAGATTCAGCATATTAAAGAACCCCATATATTCAATTTTTGTTGAAATCAAACAAAGTTTAATTTTGGACCCCAATTTGGACCAACTTGAAAACTGGGCCAAAAATCTAAATACATGTTTAGATTCAGCATATCAAAGAACCCCATATATTCAATTTTTGTTGAAATCAAACAAAGTTTAATTTTGGACCCCAACTTGGACCAACTTGAAAACTGGTCTCATAATCAAAAATCTAAACACATGTTTAGATTCAGCATATCAAAGAACCTCAAAAATTCAATTTTTGTTAAAATCAAACTAAGTTTAATTTTGGACCCTTTGGACCTTAATGTAGACCAATTTAAAAAAACAGGACCCAAAATTAAAAATCTAAATACACGGTTAGATTTGGCATATCAAAGAACCCAAATAATTCAATTTTTGATGAAATCAAACAAAGTTTAATTTTGGACCCTTTTGACCTCAATATGAACCAATTTGATAGCGGGCCCACAAATAAAAAATCTAAATACATGGTAAGATTCAGCATATCAAAGAACCCCATATATTCAATTTTTGTTGAAATCAAACAAAGTTTAATTTTGGACCCCAATTTGGACCAACTTGAAAACTGGGCCAAAAATCTAAAATCTAAATACATGTTTAGATTCAGCATATCAAAGAACCCCATATATTCAATTTTTGTTGAAATCAAACAAAGTTTAATTTTGGACCCAACTTGGACCAACTTGAAAACTGGGCCCATAATCAAAAATCTAAACACATGTTTAGATTCAGCATATCAAAGAACCCCAAGAATCCAATTTTTGTTAAAATCAAACTAAGTTTAATTTTGGACCCTTTGGACCTTAATGTAGACCAATTTAAAAAATGGGACCAAAAATTAAAAATCTAAATACACGGTTAGATTCGGCATATCATAGAACCCCAATAATTCAATTTTTGATGAAATCAAACAAAGTTAAATTTTGGACCCTTTGGACCTCAATGTGGACCAATTTAAAAACGGGGCCCAAAATCCAAAAACTTAATACACGGTTAGATTCAGCATATTAAAGAACCCCAAGAATTCAAGAATAAAACCCCATTGAAATTGATCAAGAAACAAGCAATTTATACGAAGTATCTTCTTTTGCACAATACTGTGCAATTGAATATTTCTTGCTATTGCGCAATACTGTACAATTGACAATTTCTTGCTATTGCGCAATATTGTGCTATTGGATATTTCTTGCTATTGCGCAATACTGTGCAATTGAAGATTTCTTGCTATTGCGCAATACTGTGCAATTGAAGATTTCTTGCTATTGTGCAATACTGTGCAATTGAAAATTTCTTGCTATTGCACAATACTTATTATATAATAATTTACACATCCTGTTTGGTGTGTATCTCCTACCATATCATTATTATTTGCTTTTAAATATAAATCAGAAATAACCAACTTAAAATGGAAAATTTTAAAAGAAAAAAAAAAGGAAAAAAAGAAAAAAAAAAAAAAATCCCCCCCCCCAAATTTTTTGAACCCCCTTATGATTCATCACCCCCAAACTCAATCCCAGCCTTCCCTTTGTGGTATGGTACCTTGCAGTACAATTTCAGAGAGATCCATACACTTGAACACAAGTTATTGTCTGGAAACTAGAAAAATGCTTATTTTTGGCCCCTTTTTGGCCCCCAATTCCTAAACGTTTCGGGCAATTACCCCCAAACTCAATTCCAGCCTTCCCTTTGTGATATGGAACCTTGTAGTACAATTTCAGAAATATCCAAACACTTACACACAAGTTATTGTCATGAAACTAGAAAAATGCTTGTTTTTTGCCCCCTTTTTGGCCCCTAATTCCTAAAATTTTGAGGCAATTACCCCCAAAATCAATTACAGCCTTCCCTTTGTGATATGGAACCTTGTGGTACAATGTCAGAGAGATCCATACACTTACACACAAGTTATTGTCTGAAAGTTACAAAAATGCTTATTTTTGGCCCCTTTTTGGCCCCTAATTCCTTAACTGTTGGTACCATAACCCCCAAAATCAATCCCAACCTTCCTTTCGTGGTATTGAACCTTATGGTGAAATTTCATGGAGATCCATTCACTTAAACTAAAGTTAGAGTGCGAAAACCAATGTGTCTTCGGACGACGCCGGACGACGCCGACGACGACGACAACGACGACGCCAACGTCATACCAATATACGACCAAAAAATTTTTAATTTTTGCGGTCGTATAATAACTTGATATTTAGAAGAAAATAAAAATTTTGCAATTTTTTCCCTTTATAAAGGGGCATAACTCTAGAACGGTTGAAGTGACGCCACCAAAATTCAAACTTGATCTGAGTTTTGTGGTAATAAGCCTTGTGTATAAGTTTCATAACATTTGGTTGAGGCAAACTTAAGTTAGAGAACGGAAACTAAAAATTTTGCAATTTTTCCATTTATAAAGGGGCATAACTCTAGAACGGTTAAAGTGACGCCACCAAAATTCAAACTTGATCTGTGTTTTGTGAAAATAAGCATTGTGTATAAGTTTCATAACATTTGGTTGAGGCAAACTCAAGTTAGAGAACGGAAACCAATTTTGGGACGTACGGACGGACGTACATACGTACAAGGGTAAAACTTAATGCCCCCACCGCTACGGCGGGGGCATAAAAATGCCAAATACGACCAGGAAAAGCGGAAAAAAACATTTATAGTGTCATGGACAGAAAGATTCCCCATGGGCAAGGTCGACTGTTACTGATGATAAACAAGAGATGATGTTTTGTGAATATTGCCGTTATTTTCCTGATCACGCTGATAAAAAGTCTGCTTTGTATGTGGGAACAACAAATATACGAATTGAACCACTGGTTTCACATGACAAGATCAATGAACATGTTTTCTGTGTCCGAAAATATTTAACAACCCATAGTACAAGGGATATCCAAAAAGATGTCTAGAGATCCTTGTTATAATTAAAAAAAAATTTATTTGATTTATTTTATCAAATACCGTGTATAATGCCACATTCAAAACAAGGGACACCCACTCTAAATTTGTAAGGTATACTCGGGCTAGCAGCTCTTTCAACAGGGCTAGTAAAATCCTGCTACCAATAAGTCCTGGGCTAGTGAGCTGTAACAAATTTTTTTAACCCCTGATAACTGCACAACAATAGATGATTTGAAATTAGTAAATGAATAGACCATAGCAAATGCGAAATTCAGGTGTTTGTTTATTTTGGCACTATCAGGGAAACGGAAAAAAAAGGAATTTCAAAATCAAGACAAGTTTAAATTTTCTGAAATGTAAAATGCATTTGAAATTTAATTATCTAGTTCCTGCCATGCCTTAAAACTTTACCAGAGGCACAACTAGCTAATTTTATTGTTTGTACCATTTTGTTCAAAATATTGGTTGTCACTAGCTCTCCATTACCAATGAAAATGTATGTCAGTCCTAAAGGGAGACAACTATAAAAATGGATCTCTAATTACAGGAATTGGCAAAGACTATTCACACATTCTACAACACATTTTTCCCAATAACCTAGGGCCCAGGCCCCACTTTTAAAAAGTTAGGACAATCACTGCATCGGTCATGATCTGATTTTAAACCTACATTTTGACGAGAAGTCTACTGCTCAAAGGTTGTTGTGGCCATTTCGAAAATTGGACAGGGCTGTCAGACATAATTTTACTAGTGGACCATCTAAAGAGCCTTCCTATACCAAGTTATGGTGCATATAATGTTTAAAGGGATATTTTCCCGGTTTATATTAATTTGGTCACTGCCACATTAGTGAAGAAATCTGAAAAATCAGTCTCGTATTCTTCACTTCTTCGTTATGTGTGCCTATATATCAATTAAAGGCATGAGTTCATTCGGAAAACCGTTACAGTTGCACATCTAACGTGTATAAAGTTGATCATGCAAATGTCACATGTTTGAAAGTGTCAGGTTATCAGCTTATAATTTTCTAAGTCTAAGACTAATATTTTACCTGGACTGACGGCTCACAACCAACTGAAACCTTTTTCGGCGTAATTTTGTCTACTGTATGTAGACCTCAGTGAAAAATTCAATCCCTACGAGATATTCCCACACAACCCTGTTTGACGTTGGTCGTTTCTGTTTCTTGCGACCATCCAATGCAATGTTCAGCGGAAATGAAACTTTGCACCTTCTGACGGAAGTGCTTATTTTAGTAACAAGCGGATGAATATACACATAATATATTACCAGATTAAGTAAGTTTATTTTAAACATTACACGAAATCTATCACTTCTAACTCTTAATATGATATATATTTTTTTATTTTTGCAAAAAATACAAAAAAAATAATAATCTAATATTTAATATGGGAAATTTAACTGCATGGGGGTCAGTACGGGGGTTACGTTAGAACGGTCCAGGCGGAAATTTTTTTTTTTTATCTTATGTTAGTAAATAAGCAAATAAGTAATGTCTCTTCCCTGAGGCCCTCTGACAAATTATTGTTGAAAAACTAAATAAAATATTACGAATTTATATACATGTAACAGAGTCATATATATGTTTAGTAATAAGATCCAGGTGGATACAAAATATATAAAATAATATTTAATTATTATGAAATTATTGTTATAGTAAGTTATGTAAGACACATGATGTGTTAGGCTCTGATCCTGTCCATAATATGATAGTATTATATTAGGATCTAGTTTTTCTTTTTTCCAATCATATTATGCTTAATATTGTTGTAAATGATGCCCTTTATGGGTTCTCGATTAGATTAATAAAATTCTTATCTTATCTTATATGTCTCTACACGTAATAATGAAATATATACCAAAAACACTACTGTTGTGACGGAAAATAAAGTCCACCATAAAACAATCAATCGGCCAGAAATTTTCATTATATTGAGACCTACTTACTGTCCATTTACATCAAAACTGTCAGACAACTTCTCATAGGAGTATGATTGCCCTTAAATGACGAATGTTTCCATTTTTTTCATTTTTGCTTATCATCTTGATATATCAATAGAAACTTTAAACAACAATAATGATCAGCAAGACAAGATCTACAAATTAGTCACATGGTCGAAATGGTCAGACGACTCCTTATTGGAGTTATTGCCCATTAATGATGATTATTTGTTTGACTTGATGCCTTATATCTGAAAAAAACCATAATAGAAAGGGACGAACTTTAAAACGCAATAGGGATCAGCAAGACAAGATTTACTAGGCAAATCAGTAAAACTTTCAGAAATCGTCAGTCGACTTCTTATTGGAGTTCTTGCTCTTTAATGACGATTTTTACCAATGTCTAGTGTCCATGCCAAGAAATCCTCGCTAAATATTCCGGTCGACCTCCTACGACATCCATTAGTAGTTAAAGATTTGATTTCATTCAATAAATTAATTTATGACCCGCGTGTACGTCTCACTTAAAACACAGTCATATACCAAATGGTCAAAATTAATCATCCATGTAATTTGCTCTATGGGATGTTTGCCGCTGAAAATTTCAACGGAGGCAATTTCTTGGCATGGGAGAAAGGAAGAAAGACCATTCACAATTTGTCTTACATTTGTTTTTCTCTCTTTCAATTAAATAAAAAAAAATTAAACCTTTCAGATGTAGAGTTCATAAGAAGGAAATATTCCCTGTGGAACACCCCCCCCCCCTTTTTTTGTGCTCTCTATTTTCAATCCTCTAATCTAATTAAAATTAAAACTTTGATTTCTAACCGATCTATTCATGTACCGGACCGGCAACTTTTTTTATTTAATAAGAAAATCTACAGTGCCGTTATACACATGCATGTTGATTGCTTGGAGTCCCCGCCCGAAAAGAAAGAAATAGTCTAACTCCAAGATACTATATTCCTGAATCACGTGATTTTTACTACGTTGAGCTTAAATTAGAATAAATACCGAATATGGAAAATGAAACTACAATTCATAACATAAAGTCCGTTGGCAAATAGAAGAAAAAGAAGATTATTTTTAGCAAAGGGTACCGGGGTAATCCTCTTTGTGTTCAAAATATACATGAAATATTTGCCACTGCCCCTTGTCTCGGTTCTATGAATGTTTACCCTGAGTTTTCTATCTGTTACATGCCAAGAAATCCTCGCTAAATATTCCGGTCGACCTCCTACGGCATCCATTAGTAGTTAAAGATTTGATTTCATTCAATCATGTGCAAGAATATGTCACATTTCCAAGCGAGATAACCCAATCTGTTTATATTGGACAGTAGATAATTAACGATAACTCTTAACTCCTTCCAATAGATGTCGTTGCATTTACTAATCTTGTTAAATACAACAGAGACATGTCTCTGATAAAAATTAATTAGCGTCTTCACGGGAGTTATAAATTACGATACTGGAGTTAGTGGTCTTTAAAAGGAATATGATATTGAGATCAAAACCTCGTCGAGATTATAAATCAATGTACGAAGGGGGAATTATTTTGAAAAATTAGGGAAAAAATCCATAATTTTTGTTAATTGATCTTGAATGATATTTTTTTTAACAAACAGTCATAAAAGTATCTCATGAGTTTTGATGTTCATATATCTTAAAAAATACCATTTAGGAGGTTATATGACATCCTTGTTACCAACAAATTTAATATTTTCATTTGTCCTTATGCAACAGAGCTGACGACGAAATTGGTACCGAACCGTAGCTTATTGCAGTTTAATCACAATTAGTAATGAAATAATTATATGGCATAATATCAGCTGTATTTTTTATGAACATATTAACACCAGCAAACACAAGTTTGTCCTGCTTTCTAACAATAGGCTATATACATTCATTCATTTTAGTACATCATTCATTTATGCCTTGGACAAATAATTTGCTTTAAAATGATGCTATATCTATGTCTTTGAAGAAATAACTTGCAAGCTAGATGTTTTTCATTTTTTAAATGTTTTATGTAAAAACGGCTAAACATATCTCAACCATCTTTAGTTAGGTAAGGCGTAAGCAGACAAAAAGGTTCAATAAATCAAATTTAGACAATTGGTGAAAATTAAAGATATAAATTCTTAGACTAAATAATTAAAGAATAAGTCATTCAACAGTTAAAATATATTTTTATTGATATTGATAAGTAGAGCTCTCTCTCTGATTGATAAGTGAAGATTTATCAATTGTAATAACTAAAGACATCATCATGAAGCGAGTTAGGTCGCAAGCGCTTTTATAGTGGGTCTCCCTTTTTACCCATCAAAAATTTTCTAACGGCTATCAGTGCGATTTAATACTAACAGTATTTATATCTGATGTCCCTCTGTCCTTATTTTCAACAGTGCAAGAAAGGTTTAAAATTTGCCTGAATTAAGTCACGGATAAAAATTCACAGGACAATAAGGGACGACATCAAAAGTTCAATGTAGGATAAACAAACTTAATTCACGTAGTTTTTTCACTGATCCCCACCCCCTCTTAACTTAATTTGGGAAAAATTGATTGACCAATACAGATATATGTAAAATCGATGTCAAATAAACAAAACTTGCAGCAATTTTTACCCCCCCCTAAATAAATCGCCTTTAAAAAAAGCAATTTACATTGTTCATGAACAATTGATTATAAAAACTTGGGAAACATTTTTCTTGTTTGAGATTATTTTCCAAACAGCAAGAAAGATCGAAAATTTAAATTAAAAAAAAATCAGGGACACAAATTCGTCGGACAAAACTAAATTAATAAATATAAGTTAGTTTTTACGAGTCGTGGCATATGCACCAGACAAAGTGTGTTTTGAAATACAAGGAAAACCCAACATATCAACGAAGAAGGGCCTGTTTTGCTGTGCATAAGATTAAAACTTGTCACCAGGTCTTCAGCAATCGGCTTTTTAATATTCATTTATAATGGCAACACATTCATCATTATAACAGAAACAACATTCAATGTGTTGTAAGCGTTACATTTTTTCACACAAGAACATTTTGAACAGTGTATTTCTAAAATGACCGAGAGACAACTTACATGTGTTTTGTATTGCACCATTAAGTAATTAAAAAAAACATATATATAGAAAATGACAAATTAAAAGAAGAAATAAAAAAATAAAAGCAGCAAATTAAACTATCTATACATAGATAACACTAATCAATATACTTCCATGGTCAAACTAAAGAGCGAGGAACACGATTCCCTTAAAAAGAGTGATTTTAAATATTTTTTGCATTATAGTTTTCGAGTTCTCAAATTTGTTTTAATAGTTCCACCACATTGATGTAATGTCATTACAGGATGATACTTCCACAACAAACCGTGAATGTAAATTTACATTCATTATACATATGTCACCAATTAACACAAGTTGTATTGTATCAGATTCAATTTAATAAAACAAACAGTGGCATCCTGTTGAGCATATATAAGACATCGTAATTGGAGATAGGAAAGACAATCAAGCGACAGGGTGCCTGCTGATAATAAAATTCATTTGACAATATATCAATTTCGAACTTTTTTGATATACCACCTTTTCATTTTCTTTAAATATTATCGAAATACAAATGATGGAAAAATGTTTTACGGGTGAAAAAAAAATATTAAACAGCGAATCGTTTATTATTATTTAAATGTAAATGTATACTTTATCATTTATCATTAAATACGTTTCACCAAATATGAATAAAAAATATCTTTATAGTCTCTATTTTATGAAATTATACGAACTATGAACTATAATGAACAAGAACCCTTATAGTAAAACTCCATTATGTCCTTTGAACAGATGAGCTATCCCGACGAATACAATTTAATATAATTAAATATAATTTTATTTTGTATTCAATATTTATCGTTTTATTTGAACAATAAAAAATAGCCACAGTGAACACTTTGAATTTGAACTTATTATGTATTATTTCATTTATTTAAGAATAACCAGAATTTATTTTACATGTATAACAGTATAATCTCGCTAATGTACGTTGTTTTCGTGTATTTGTGTTGGTTATTTTTTTCAAAGACAACATTTCAAAACGCCGGAGACCTAAGAATTTCTTAATTTAAACTGACTTTTCTGACATCAAAATGTAGCTTATTGACAGGAGTATTCAACAGTATGTGTTAATAGTATTTCCTCCGCATATTAAGTGTGCTTCATTTTTTTTAGTTATTGCTGTCTCGTTTCTTTTGAGGTAATTCATCGATATTTACTGATGTGAGTAAGGGAATTTAGATAATGAAATTTCAAAAAATCGGAGACCTAACAATGA